TCTTCTCCATTGTTTGCTTCTCTGCCAAAGATCAGGTGTCTGTATTTCTGTAGTGTATTTCTCTAGACTCTATTCCAGCAACATACCTGCCTATTTTTTCCCCACTATACCACACTGTCTTGATTACTGCAGCTTTACTGTAAGTGCCGAAGCCTGGTAATGTCAGAATCAGTTTGTTGATATCCACAAAATAATTTTCTGGGAATCTCACTGGGATTGCACTGAGTCTATAAATGGAGAACATCTTCACAACATTGAGCATTCCTAACCAGAAACATGGACTCTCTCTCCATTTATTTAGTTCTTTGGTTTCTTGTAAGTTCTGTAGTTTTCCTTGTATAGGACTTGTACATATCTTGTTAGAGGTACACCTAAGTGTTTCATTTTCTTGGAGCTAAATTTTAATGGTATTGTTCTTGGGACCAGCAGATGGTGTCATGGTTACATCACCGGATTCCCGTATTGCTATAGAATGTGTGTGCTCGGGAACCAGCAGTTAGCGTAATGGCTATGTCTCTGGACTCCCATGTAGTCGACCACGGTTCGCGTCCCGGGCCCGGTGGCTTAAACTCACACCGGGTGCGTGTGCGTGCGTGCCCAAGATCCTGAGAGGAGAATGGAGGAGAAGGGATTGCGGCGTGACCATCCCCCCTGGGGGTGATTTCTCGCTTTCTGTCTCTGTCTCTCTCTGTCTGGCGAGGGCACACACCCTATAGTGAAAACCTCTCCTCCCCCCAATAAAAAAGAATGTGTGTGCTCGCTGAAGGGGAAGGGGAGGGTCACCCTCCAGGGGTAGTGACATCAAAACCCTCCCTGGGGGGGTGATTTTTCACTTCTCTCTCTGTCCCTCTGTAGTGAGCGCATGCGTCCTATGACAAAACAAAAAATCTGAAAACCACAAACTATATGTCACTTTTTAATAAATTATTTACAAAAAATTTTAAAATCGATTATCATTATTCTTCAATTTTGGTCAGAGAGACAGAGAGAAATGGAGAGTGAGAAAGCAAGCCATGAGGTCCAGGACTTTAACTGTGGTCAGCCATGTGGGAGTCCAGCACTTCAACAACCATGCCACAAGCCAGCCCCAGAATTATTTTATTTACTATTAAATTTTCTATAGGGCACGTCTGTTTGCCAGAGAAAGGCAGAGTTTGAGAAAGGAGGAGTGAGAAATCCAGGACCTGGGAGTCCAGTGCCCTAAATACGCCACCTGCTGGCCCCATCATGTAATTTCTGTGTAGAAAATCCTGCAATAACTCTCTCACTGTTCTTAGAATCAAGATTTTTTTCCTTTTTTCTTTTAATTCATGATCGAGCATGTGCTCGTGCATGAGAGAGAGAGAGAGAGGAGGGAGAGAAGAGGGAGGGAGAGGAAGGAAGAGGGCAGAGTAAGAGGGTGAGAGAAAGGGAGAGGAAGAGAGAAAGTGAGAGTGAGAAAAGCACCCTCTTCAGGGCTCAGTCAAGCCACGATTCCCCTCTTTCAGGACCTAAGGCATTTGTGTTCACAGCCGGTATATTTTCCAGGCCAACAGCACAGGGACTTGAACCAAAGTTGGCAAATGGCGCTCAACTCGGCAGTCCCGTATGCTGACTTGGGCCACTGACATTGGACATTCTTTAAATCTACAAGGATATAAATTACACCCCACAGGCCAAATCCAACGTGCCACATGTTTTTGTACATAAGGTTTTAAGTGACCACAGCTATTCAACAGAGGAGTGTAACAGTTATGACAGATACCATATGGCTTGCGAGGCCTAAATATTTACTATTTGGCTCTTTATAGAAATGAGCTTGTTGACCCAAGTTTTATATGCTTCAATCCCTACCCCCATCCCACTTACTGGGTCTTTTACTTGCCCCTTTCAGCCCTGCTCATCCACTACATTAAAAAAAAAAATTAGTTTATTTATTCATTCATTTACTTTAATTTTACCAGAGACAGACAGGGAAAGTGAGAAAGCAAGCTGCCAGGTCCAGCATTTGAACTGTGGTTGGCCACGTGGGAGTGTCTAGTGCTTTAATCATCACACCACCTGCTGGCCCCCCATTTACTATATTTTAACCAAACTTTTCCTACTTCAGATACTATTTTGTTATGTGTCAAGAGGGCATGTGCACTAGTCAGAGAGGGAGAAAGCACTTCCCCATGGGGCACGGTCATGCCACAATCCTTCATCCATTTCTCTATTCCATTAGGATCACAGGCACAAACGCTCGGTGTTTTTCAAGCCCCCAGGGCTGGGACTCGAACCATGGTCAGCCATGTGGGATCTCGCTTCCTACACATACTGTTTAATAACTGTGCTAGGGGGCCCTATTTCAGAGTTTTTGTACTTCCTATTTTTTTTTTAGAATTATTTTATTTATCTATTATTTTCTTCCAGTTTGATTAGAGAGAGAGAGAGAGAGAGAGAGAGCAAGCTGCTAGGTCGGACTTGAACCACGGTTGGCCTTGTGGGAGTCCAGTGCCCCCACCCACCATGCCACCTGCCTGCCCCTATACTTCCTATTCTAACTGCCCCTGAATGATCTTCACTCACCACTGTCCTAAGACTGCCTATCTCAACTTAAAACATCAAATCATCAGACTTTTCCTGACCAACCAGTCTAGAGTGGCACCTTCAACCACTGTAGTTAGTGAAATAACATGGCAATGATTATTTGAAAGTAGGTACTACTGGGTTGTTGGAAAAGTCATGATGTATTTTTACATAGAAAAACATGTCATTACTTTCCTGACAACCCAACAGTTTAGTTCTCTCCCCTAGCAGAATTTAAACTGTGAGAAAACACCCTACTTTGCCCACATCCATTCACTATTTTAATCTGTACTAAGATAAGACCAGCACCAAAAATTCAACATAGCTTTTTTTTTTTTATGAGAAGACATAAAAAAAAAATTATTTTTGAAGAGTTTTTTGTTGTTGTTGTTGCTATAGGGCGGGTGAGCTCGCCAGAAAGAGACAGAGACAGAAAGCAAGAAATCAACCCCTGGGGGGATGGCCACACTGGGGCACGCATGCACAGGCGCCCGGCATGAGTTTAAGCCACAGCGTCCGGAACTCGAACCGTGGTCGACTACATGGGAGTCCAGAGACATGGCCATTATGCCAACTCTTAGTCCCAGAGACTTTTGCTATAGGGTGCATGTGCTTGCCATAGACACAGAGACAGAGAAAGAAGTCTGAAATCACCCTTCTCCCTCTGGGGGGGAGAGGGGGAAGATGGCCACGCCACAATCCCTCCTCCTCCATTCTCCTCTTGGAATTTCAGGTGCATATGCACATAGTGTGATTTTCAAGCTGCTAGGTCTCAGACTCGAACTATGGTCGGCTCTGTGGGAGTCCAGTGCCTCCACCACTACGCCAACTGCTGGCCCCACTGACATTGTTTTTGAGTGAAAAGAAAGAGGCCAACAAATAACTGCTGATAATATGAGGCAGAGGTCAAGGACACTGTTAACTTCGAGTCCGTTCCCCACATTCAGCTCTGCCTTTACAGACTTGCCTTGACAAGCACCTGATGTCAATCAGAAAAGGCTGAAGGAAGATTATCTGGTACTTCTGGCTCCACTGGGGGCAAACATCTCTACCAAGAGTGCCTATCTCCACAATGTGGGTCCATCTTGCCCTCTTCAGTGAAGGCTAGCATCAGGAAAACCCAGCAAGGTCAGGTTACAGAACTGGACAAAGAACTTCTCAACGTTAATGATTATTATGGTTAAGAATTTTATTATCAAAATTATTACATCTCTTGTGAAAGTTCAAATGTTACAGCAAGGTGTAAACACTCCAATTAAGAAAGAAGTGGTGAGGGCCGCCTGCCCGCTGGCCTCTCCTCTTGGTTAAAAACCAAGGGGAGAATGCAAACCCCAGCCCAAATGGAGAGACATTTACATACGTTTTATATAATATACAAAGAAACCAGCATCCCAGGCAACATGATTTCCACTCCCAATGCTCTCCCAGACTGATGGGTTTGTGGGGGAAACAACAAAATGAAAAATACTCTGCTGAGGGCTCAGCATTTAAAAAAAAAATAAAGAAAAGAAAAAAGAAAAAAATAATCTCCCCTCATTTGAGCAAACACCTGATTTCAATTTTGAAAAGTGAAATTTTGTAACAGTCACACACAGAGAGAGAAGACTGTGCATTAAGATAGTTGTAGGACAGGGTAAAAAAGAAGGGGGTGCAAGAGGCAGGGGGTGGGGGAAGTGGGAGAGAAAACAAATTAGAGGGAAGGAAAAAGGGAGACTCACAGTATTATCTTGTCCAAAAGAAAAGAAGGTCCACTGCAGCACCAGGGATTACACCTGTCATATACTCACTACCCCTACCATGGTTATAACTGAATACAAAATTAGATAAATAAAAACACGCCGGATATTACAGTAAACAAGTGAAAGAAATAAGCTGGCAACCGTATGGAATTTAAAAAGATTGTGTACCCCACCTGGGCTGGCTCCAGGGCTCCTCCAGGGGTGTACAACAGGCACAATGCACTGATGGGGAGAAGCCAGTCTGCTCTCGTCTCTCATCCAAAACAGTGTTAGGGTGTGGGTGGCTTGGTAACGCTCTCACCGGACCCACTCTCACGTAAGCATCCCCAAAGAAACGTGGGGCAGGCCCACACACAATCACAGTCCTGTCGGTGCCACTCCACAAACCTATCTTCCCACTCTTACCCTGCAGTCACGAGTGCACGTTCCGAACCACGGAGGCGGTCCTGCTCATGAGATCATCAACTCCTGATTAGCAGGAGTAATTCCCAAACCCTTCGGGCCCTTTCCTAATCAAATGTATTGCCCAAAGCTGTGAAGTAGCAAGGCAACCAGGCCATCTCACTTCCCATCCTTCTTTTCTTTGTCCGCTTACCTGCCAGATTACAAACTGTGAAGCAGTGTGGGAAGGGGGCAAGGGCAGATTAACAGCTAGGGGCTCAGACAACTCCCAGGCAACCAAGAGCTGACCAGGAGCTCCTGCTCAGAGCCAGACACCCCTCAGAGCACGCTCCAAACTTGACTCTCCCTGCTTACTTCTTGGTGATTTTAAGACAAGGGCAGGGAGTATTCTCAGTGAACACACCTTGGCCAGGTTATCTGCCTTTGGAATGGTTGTGTTAGGGCGAACATTTACCTACCTTGTTTTCATAAGTGCATAAAACCTTACCACTACTCAGATGGCTTGGGGCTTTGAGATTGGCTCTTTTCACCTTTTTTTCCTTTGAAAAGAAAACTTTTTGTTTTGAAATTTATTTAAAAAGATGTCCTCACTGCACAAGTGACTACAGGCTACAGGCAAGGATGGGAGACGGAGGCTTCAACACAACTCATTGCACTTAGAACCGTTACTAACCAAAACACCATTTGCTTGTCAACAATGTACCCTTAACAGCAGGGAGAAACTTCTTTTTAGTCTCTGCTTCAGACAAGATTTACATCTTTCTCCAAGGCCAGAGGCCAGTCGCGACCACAAGTCTTGTTTCTTGTTGACCAGACCCAATCCTCTGGTACCTTGTACCCCCCTTCCCCAGCAATATGCTTGGCCTAGGTTCCAGAGGCAGCTGGAAGGAAGCAGCTATGGGCTCATTCAGTTCTGTTTGCCCATATCCAGAAGCCCTAGGAAAGTCCTGTCTGAGTCTTGACTCCTGACCCTTGCAGCGGCTGGAGTCGGTACTGGTGCACACCCCCACTCCCTCGGTGCGGGTAGTGCTGTGAACTGGAAACTGCAGATACCCTGGAGGCCTGGTAGGCAGCTGACTGCCCAGCACTGGGCAGACTGATAGTCCGTAAGTCTGATGGCAATGACGACCTAGAGTTCTGAGGAAAGGAGGTGGAACTCAGAGTTCCTGTGCTGGACTGAGAAACCGAGTCTGAGGTTGGCGAGTCTGAGGGGCCCTGCTGGGTAGGGCTAGCAGCACTAGAAGGGCAGCTCTTCCTTGGAAGATTGCTGCCAGTGCTGTTTCCAGAATGTGGCTGGCTGCTATAATACCCTGGGGTCCCCGTAAACGGGGCCAAAGAGTCTGTGGACACAGGGTGGGCAGGGCTGGAATAGGACGTGGAAGAGAGGGATGATTCTGAAGAACTGTGAGAGGGGGGGTTTCCAGGTCTCAGTGCAGTAGTTCGATAACTGTATCCTGGAGATTGGGTGGGATGTCCTCTAAAGGGGGAGGAACTCTGCTGAAGGAGGCTTTGTGATTCTGTCCGTGGACTATCACACTGCAGGAGCTAAAAGGTGGGAGGAAAAGCACAAGGAGGTGAACAAGTCCCTGAAGTGGCTTGCATATCTACAATACCCTACTCCCCTCCCCTTCATCTTTTACCCATTTGTCCTTTTTAGGGTACCAACCAAAGTCAGTAAAACGGCTGTCTTTGACTGCTTTATTTATTTTGTTTGGCATGATTTATTACCTGAAGGTGAGCAGAAGTTGACTTACGTCCAAGGCTGCTGAAATTACATGCAAAGACAGCATCTCAACTGCAAAGGATGGCCAGGTTCACAAAACTTTTGGAACCCGATACTCAGTCCTGTGCCTGTAGACCAGCAGTTTCTTGTCTCACCTGGTAGCTGTATCTGGAAGGGCTGTAAACGGTTGCTCCTTTAGAGAGTGCTGAGCTCAACGTCTCTGGGCCTTCTCCATCTACAAGGTCTAGAAAGTAACATAAAATCAACTTGACTTCTTGGAAGTAGCGAGAAAGAGCCATTCCTCATTCAATCACCAATGCCATCACCAACCCATGCTGCTCTCTTTGTGACAAATCAGGTGAGTGCAGCATGCCAGAAGGGCAAAAGGAGTGGTTAATTATGGGCTATATGTTAAATGCCTGATCTGATTCTCGTCTCCTCCTCTCTCTTCATCCTTCATCGAGGTGGATTTCCAGGACTTTGGAGAGATGAGAATTACAGAAAGGTATCCCTTCGGAAAAAAGAGCAGACAGAGAGCAAGCAATGCTAGGTTGTATAAATTTCATAGCCCACAAGAGTGAGCATGAGCTGGCACCTAGTACACGGCAGAGCCCAACTGCATCAGCACTGACTCGCCTCATGCCAGCACGAGGGGTGAGCCGTGTAGAGCCCAGCTCGCAGGCCCTCCACCGGGCTGGCAGCAGAAGGCCATGGGCTCACCTGAGTCTTTCTCTGTGATGCTACTCTCCCACGTGGGAGAGGGCTCTCCCTTTGCAGCCACCCTCACGCTGCTTCGGAGGACCTTGGGGATGCTCCCTCCTTCTCGGAGCCGTTCTACTGATGTGGGGACCATCCTGTAAAAGCAAAAGAGTGCAAGTGTAAGCCACAGGGCTTAGGAGTCAAGAGTCTGAAATAAATGAAGCCCTGATAAACACTACAATGCATTCTCCTAAAACACCCTAAGTGGCTGCTCTGCTTACGGGGTAGCCTTTCTATCTTTCCTTCCAGGTAGCAGTTTTCCCTTTCCTTTTGAGAGAAATGAAACTGTTCACTCATCGCTCCCCCAGGGGGTGCTCCACTTACAGAATAGAGCATTCTGTACGTTTCCCTTAATAAACTTGCTTCACTCTCAGAAAACAAAACAAAACAAAACGAAAACCCAAAAAACCCCTTAAACATTACTTTAATCAGGACCAATTTAAAACAAGGTACTTCCTCTACTACAAATTGTGTTGGGCACAAAAGAAAAATACTTTCAAGAAGAAAGGAATCAAGAACAAAGTACATTAAAGACGCTGACTTCTTTTAGCCTCCAATGTTAAAGGCGACATCTTCTCTTCTGTGAAGTCACGAGCCTGACAGACAGTAGTAGAATACAGTTTCACAGATCACTGAATATTAAATCATCGAACATATGTTCCTTCCCAGACTCATCTCTTTAGTTCAAGATGCCTGGACTCCTGTACTTCATTCTCTGCTTTACTCATTTGATACCAAATACTTGAAACCAGTATGACTTATTTTTTTCATTTGTGGTCCCTCCCAACCAGACAACAGCAGGTTGTGTTAAGGAACTGGACTCCCATATGATTGACTATGGTCTGAGTCCAGGATCCAGTGGCTTGAAACTCATGCTAGGCATGTGTGCACGTGTGCCCCAAATCCTGAGAATGTAGGAGAAGCAACTGCTGTGTGGCCACCCCCCCGCCCCGGGGTTGATTTCTCACTTTCTGTCTCTCTGGAGAGCCTACGTGCCCTATAAACAAAGATCTCCCCCGCCAAAAAGAATGCCTTGTAGCTCTGCCTATACGAGCAGTTCAAACTCACATCTGTTGTTAATTTATGTGGACATGGCTGAACTCTTGCCTTACCTTTCACATGAAATGAGAAAACAGAAGAAGCGGTGCTATTGCCCACCAAGTAAAATAGCTCATCTGCACCCAGCAGTACGTGTTGTCCACAGTGCTGCTTCTCAGGGTTGCTGATAGGCACTGCTGCCTCTGCAAAGCTGGGGCTTTGTAGCTGATACTATTAATTCAGCTGCACAGGACAGATGGCACTGTCAGCTGGCCCTCAGATACAGCCTTCCCATACATTTTAGGTAAAACCAGGACTGACCCTAGATGTAGACTTCCCTCCTAAAGCCAATGACAAAGTATCAAATAGAAGCTCACCACCTACTGCTGATGTTCTCTTGAGGTCTGCAGTGAGATGATGTGCCTCTGGAATCTGATGGGCTTACCGCCTCCAAATGGGACATAGAGGAATGAGATGGGGAGAATTTTCTGTGAGGGGAGGATGGGGTTCGGGCTGAGGATCCCTGCACACCAGGGGCACCAGAGTCAGAAAGGGGGTCACTGCTGCCTTGCCCAGCTCCTGCAGACTTGCTTTTGCTCTGTGTAGAGTCACCTCCCCCACTAATAGAATTCTCCTTGGCTTCTTGTTTCCGTTTGCGGTATTCCAGCAGGGATACCTAGAAAGGAAAAAGAAACAGTACTCTAGTCGAGTGTAATTAGTGGGTCAGTAGCAATGGGGAAAGAAGGCAAGACAGAGCTCTGGTAAACTACACAGGCACTGACTCTGACAACGTTTCTCAGGTTAACAGAGCTCTGAGCACAGATGAAAATGTAAGCCAGTAAGAAATTAGATTCCTACATCGTCAATCTTGGTCTGAGTCCTGAACCTTGTGACTTGAAACTCACGCCGTGGGTGTGTGTGTGTGTGCCCAAGATCCTGGGAAGAGAATGGAGGGATTGTGGCATGGCCATCCCCTCTAGGGGGTGATTTCTCACTTTCCCTCCCTCTGGTGAGCATGCTAAAGCAAAAACCTCTTATTATTATTTTTTGGGCCAGAGGGTGTGAGTACTTGCTGAAGACAGAGAAAGTGAGAAGGCACTCCCTTCCCCATGGGGAATAGTCAGGACCAGCAGTTGGCGTAATGGCTATGTCACTGGACTCCCATGTAGTCAACCGTGGTTTAAGTCCCGGACTCAGTGGGTTAAATTCACACAGGACGTGTATGCATGCGTGCCCAAGATCCCGAGAGGAGAAGGGATTGCTGCGTGGCCATGTCCCTGGGGGGTGATTTCTTGCTTTCTGTCTCTGTCTTTCTGGTGAGCGCACATGCCCTATAGCAAAAACCTCTAAAAAAAAAAAAAAAAAGTCATGCCACATTCTTTCTCCTACTTTCGGGATTTCGGGATTTTGGGTATGTACAAACATATTCCAGGTATGTTTCTTAAGTCACTGGGTCTGGGACTTGAACCACACAGTCAGTCTTGTGAGATCCAGCCACCCTAACAAAAACTCCACAGGCTGACACAGAAGGCGACATTCTGGAAGAACCATGTTCATTAAAGAAAAAAGGAACCCTCCCCAACTTTTAGAAAAACCTGAGATTACCATCACCTAGCAACAGAATTGTGTCATCAGTTGTATGCAAATATGAGAGCTCCTAAGAGAGAGCAGCAAACTGGAAGCTTGTATAGTTTGCAAAGCCTCCCAGGGGATTTTGCTGGCTCTTCCTCACTCCATAGGGATTCCCTAGAGTTAAGTTTAAGAAAGAGCAAGTGCCAGGCCTTAGCACAGTGGTTATGGTAGCTGGATCCTCATGGCTGAATGCATGTTTGAATTCTCAGCCTGAGAAACATGTTGGGTTCATGTGCATATATGCCCAAAACTGTGAAAGCAGGGAGAGGTGGAAGAGAAGGGATTGTAGCATGACTAGTCCCCATGGGGGGCTGGTGGTGATGGTCCTTCCTCTCGCCCCCAACCCCAGTAAGCATATGCGCTCTCTGATAAAATTAAACAGAGAGGGCAGGTGGCATGGTGGTTAAAGGTGGGGGACTTTCCCATTTCCCCTTCATCTGCCCAGTCCTTACTCATTGTTCCCTGGCCGACACAGCAGACCCCGTCCTTCCTGCCCTGCCTAGAACATTCCTCTGTGTCATCAGAACACACTGCACACACTGGCTGTAATACCTAGTACCGTGTCTTGCTTGCTGGCCTCGACTACACAGTAGTCTACAAGGGCAAAGACCACATTTATTTGTTTTCTATCTTTTGTTTTTTAAAGACTTCTTTTATTTAATTTTATTCGTAATCATTATTATTTTAATTTGACCAGAGAGAAACAGAGACAGATAGAGGGAAACCGAGAAAGTAAGTCATTAGGTCTGGGACTTGAACGGCTGATCATGTGGGAGTCCAGTGCACTTAACCACCACGCCGCTTGCTGGCCCCTTGTTTTCTATCTTTAACATCTAGCACAGAACTTGTATACTGCAGATGTTCTGTGAATTTCCAAAATGTCACTAAAGTAGTTCATGATTTTAATCATTTTTGCACATAATACATGGGACCAGAAATTCAAAGATTGTTTCCCTTTTCCTTTTTAAAAAATTTTTTTAAATACATTTTTAAAAGATTATTATTATTTTCTAAGTTGACCAAAGAGAGAGAGAGAGAGAGAGAGACAGAGAGACAACAAGCAGCCAGGTCCAGGACTTGAACTGCAGTTGGCCATGTGGGAGTCCAGTGCCTTAGCCACCATGCCACCTGCCGGCCCTGTTTTTGTTTTAATTTTATTTTTAATTTGACCAGAGAGGGACGCAGAGAGAGCGAGCGAGCAAGAGAGAGAGAGGGAGAGCAAGAGCACGAGTGCAAGCCACTAGATCTGGGGCTCGAACTGTAGTCAGCCGTGTGGGAGTCCAGCTCCCTTAACCACCATACCACTTGCTGGCCCCCCATTTTTATTTCTTTTCTTTTATTTGGGAGAGGTTTTTGCTATAGGGCATGTGCGCTCGCCAGACAGACAGAGAGAGACATAGAGACAGAAAGCGAGAAATCACACCCCAGGGAGGATGGCCACACCGCAATCCCTTCTCCTCCATTCTCCTCTTGGGCACGCATGCACACGCGCCCGGCGTGAGTTTTAAGCCACTGGGCCCGGGACGTGAACCGCGGTCGACTATGTGGGAGTCCAGCGACATAGCCATTACGCTAACTGCTGGTTCCCCCCCATTTTTATTTCTGATAGTCAATGTAGTCACGCAAAGGTCTCTGAAACCCATTATTGTTTTATTCCAAAATATCTACTAATGTTTCTTCCTTCTTTTCTATCCTTTTAGGGCACTTATTCTTCTGTCCAAATGTAAAACAAAAACATGAAAAAGTAATACAACTTTGCACGTGCCTTTTCTATACATAATCTTGGAAAGAATAACAATACAGTCTAGTAGTACACTTCATTGTTATGAAGATATAAGAAAGTACTAGAGCCAGGGGGCCAGCAGTGGCATGGTGTTTAAGGTGCTGGATTCCTACACGGTGGACCGTGGTTCTAGTCTCGAATCTGCTGTCTTGAAAATCATACTGGGTGAGTGTGTGTGTGCCCCTAAAATCCCAGGAGAAAGGAGAAGGGATTGAGGTATGGCTATCCCCGCTGTGGGGTGACTTCTCACTTTCCCTCTCTCTGTTTCTGTCTATCTCATCAGTCCCTGATTGAGAACCACTGACCTGAAGGGCAGAGTTTTGGCTTTGTGATTTCTGGAACCGAAACAAGTTTGTAAATTAAGTCTCAACTCATTAGCAAGCTCTCTATGGCCTGGCCCTGCCTACATCTCTCTCTCCTCACGTCCTGCACCTAACACCATTACATTCGGCTGACATATAATGCACCCCGCTACCCATCCCGTGGAGAGTCTCACATTTACTTGCTCTGCTCCCTCTATTACAGTATCTTTATCCCCATTTGCTGGTTGGCTGACTACTAGTTATGGTTTGTAATTCAGCTGACTAAGGGCCTCTTGTTTGTTCTCAAAGTGTGCTCTGTCTATCTGTCCAGATCAGGTTCCCCTCTCACTACATCTGAACAAGACCTTCGGAGCATCTGTCTTCCCTGTAACCAATTACTTATTAATGTAATTACCTCTAAAGGTCAGTCTCATTTGCTGTAAGTTCCATTAGCGTAGATCCTAGGAAGCAGCACTGCATGACGGCAGGCAATCTGGAGTCAAGCTCATTTGGGGAGCATTTTGGCTCTTCTATTTACTAGCTGTGTGACCACGGAGAAGTTATGCAACTTGGTTAGTTTCCTATTAGTTTCCTCATCTGTAAAATGGGAAACTATCCCACAGGATTACTGAGAGGATAAAATGCATCTGATGAGTTTGCTTTACACAGTGCCTAGAACTTGGTAAGTGCTAAATAGTAAGTATTATTCCTTTTCACCACTCTAGCGTTTCAACTGCCTACCAAGTACATGGTATACAATAAACATTTCAGTTTCCTGACTACTTCCAATACTCACTCAAGTGTGTTAAACAGTCTGTTTTTCACTGGACCTGGCAGAGACGATGACTTAATCTGAGAACAGTGCTAAGTACACAGCAGGAACTTCATAAGTGTCATTGATTTTGGTAACATGTTATTCAAAAGGGGCCTACATGCTGTGAACCACTCACCTTTTTTCTCTGTGGTGGGTTCTGGGGGGCAGATGGGACTCCTTCACAGGCCCTTTCGCCACCTGGTGACATGGATCCACGAGAGAGGTCTTTCATAAAACCATGTTCATATCTGCTAGAAAACCCTTCTGCAGGGGAGCAATATCCCCCATCCAAATGTAAAGGCTTCCTATCCCCCACCAGGGGAGACTCTCGGTATAATCCATCTGCTCGAGGCATAGCATTCAAAGGGGAGTAGGCATACATCAGGTTGAACTCTGTCCGAAATGCCTGGTCTGAGTTCCTCACGAGGGTCTGATGTCCATCTCCACTCCTGCCTGGGAAGCCAGTCTCAGAGGTGGGCCCGACGGAGGAATGAGGGGCCAGGTCAGAATGACCTGAGTTGAGCAGGGAAGGTCTGTCAGCACAGCTGTTAGTGTTGGAGTCAAGATATCCTACTTTTGTCAAATCCAGGTCTTTCCGGTGACAAAGCTGAAAGAATAAAAATCAATGGAGACATGGTGGGGTAGGGGAGAAAGGAAAAAGTCGAAGGGCAGAAAGGAAGAGGGAAGAGGGGCACAGGTGAACAAGGAAAGATAAGAGGGATGAAAATAGAGAAGAGAAAGCCATTAACATCTTTCAAAGTCCCGCATAGCAACAGTATACATAGGCCAGATTACTAAAGAATACCGGCCTTCCCCAAAGTGCTTTAAAGTATTTCTGGATGAGAATACTGGGAAAGTCAGAATTAAGTAATTGGCCAAATGTGACTATTTTGCCTGCTTAGCCTTTCATCAATTTTTGCTGAGTCATCCTGCACTACACTAAGGAACTAGCAGTATAATTAGGGATCTACCTGGGCCCCATGCACATACAGAGGTGAGACTGGTGTCTTAAGATAGCTGGCTTCTGGTGTTTCTCATGTCTAAATTAATATTGATGGAAGGTGCGGGGAGGGAAAAGGTGGAGGAAAGCAGAAGGTGGACGGAAAGGCAAGTATTTCAGTTACTAGTTCAGTAAAGGAGAATGGCATTAAAGACATCAACCAACCAGTTCTTCATTCACTTTCACTGTTAAGTAGGTGTGTTTTTATACAACTTTCTGGCCACTCAATTCTTCTTTCTTTATCCTCTAATGTATGTCAACATATCCCAAGACCACTAATGTCCATTACTGCAGAACATCTGAAATGCTGAAATGTACCAAAACAAAAAACAAAACAAAAAACCAACAAAAACAAAAAACAAAACAAAAAACACCAAACCTCCACCTACTATTTGGTTCTCATTACCTTCTAGTACTAAGGTTTTCTACCACTAGCTCAACTATAGCTAACTCTTTAGGAAGAATGGTACCAGAAACCCACAAACTGTACCATGTCAGCCCTCAAATTATGCTCTCCTACAATCTTTAACAACTGAGGAGAGAGAGCCTTACTTCTATAACAAGATAGAGTCAAAAAACCAGGAAAAATCTGTAGCACACTAGTGGAATACAACCCTGAGTTTCACACTGATGTATAAAATCATACCGATTCAGAATCTGGTAAAACAGTCATTGAGGTTAGCTCTAATTTTTAAGTAAAGTTTAGTTAATTTCTGAAAGGCTATGAGAGACTATAACTTTTTCATCAAGAGTAAAAAGGCTCCAGGCAGATCTAAAGAGTTAATAACTACTACACTTGTCCAAATCGTGTAATAGAAACTCTACACTAAAACCTGAATTGATTATCTTTGCAGCAGTACAGTTTCTGCAAAAAAAAAAAAAAAAAAAAAAA